GGGGGGGGGGGGGGGGGGGGGGGGGGGGGGGGGGGGGGGGGGGGGGGGGGGGGGGGGGGGCGTGACAAAGAATTCCCTCCCGCCGACAGGACACAAGCTTCCGTCATTCTTGATGTCGCCAACCGGCAACATTGAGAGCACTAGAAAGACACATACACAAACCCCCGCCTTGAAGTAGAAGTTGAAGGCGTTGTCCGAGTTGTACCACCCCTCAGCTGTAGCCGATATGGCGTCTGTCGCGTTATCGTCGCTCGAGGCCTCGTCCTGTACAGCCGTAAGAGGATGGTTCCGTGTCGCCGATGGAATATGGAAAAAAGAATTCACCGAAGCCGTCCGTAACAGCAGTACCGACTACATACCATCAACAACCTGGCGGTTCAAGGAACTCAACAACTGTGATTTGCGAATAAAGAATACCGCAACAACCTACCGTAGGTGACATAGCGCACCACGCCCGTGTGATGACTATCGGTTTGGATCAAGCAAAATATCACAAGGTGTGGTATTGTGTAGGGAGTCTGGTATCTTGTGTGGCCCATGTATGATGAGCTGCACTCACAGGACCCCACCTACAGGGTTAGGGTGCGACAACGTCACCCCTCGGACAGATCGCGCCCACGCGATCCAACCTGCCCGGGGCGTTGTGCGGGCCTCAGCAGAGTACGTGTACTATCATGCACGGTTACTGACGGAGTCCAGGGGGTATCCTTTCCCCCTCCGCGGGTTGCGGTCCATGTACAGAAAAACATGACGTCATTCGGCGTGGTGCCGCCGCTGCCAGAGTCCGACTATTTAACTGCAGTCTGACGCCCTGATGCTTTCAGTAGTGCATTCGGCGTGGTGCCGCCGCTGCCAGAGTCTGACTATGTAACTGCAGTCTGACGCCGTGATGCTTTCAGTAGTGTGTTCTTCGTTCATGTCGCGGTGTAGTTGTTCGTCTCCATAGCTCCAGCGCCGGGTTAAGTGTGCTTTGTATGTTGTTCAGTTATGATGGACTACTACCGTTGTGGTATGGGGTTGCGTGGGTTATGTTTGTGTCTTGACTTGCAGGGTGTGGTATGCTGCCTTCTGCACCCCGTGTGTCTCATGACGTATAGCTGCTCTCTCCAGGATAAAAACAATCAAGGTCGTCCTCTGTAATTGCTCCACGGCGTTCTACCGCCGTAAAATGGAATTGTTGTTTCACGAGTTGCCGTCAACGAATCAGAATTTACTGTTTCCATCCAATCGTTGCCGTGATCAAGAAGCAGGCTTCGCGGTTACCGCCTATGAAACCGCAGTTCCCGCGCTTTGTTGATCGGTACCCCGGAGTATGTACAAACATGATAAAACTCCCATGCCCTCACAGGCAGACCACGTGAACTACCATATGCAACGATGCTTTTCCCTGGTGCCTCGCTAGGTCTAGTGGCGACCACACGATAGGCAGGCAACTTTCGAGACGGGTTGCAGTCCCAGGTCACACATTCTTTTGCTGTTCTTCGCTATTCCTTGCTGTTTTCTTCCTGCTCTTCTTTCTTCCTTCTTATTCCAGCAGTGTATTTCATTTTTTCATCGTCTCAAAAAATGAAAGAAACGAAAAGAGGTCCTCTTGAGGGACCCCGGCTAAAACGTCAGGTGTATACGCCGAAAGACCTGAAAACCGGCGCCGCAACAGATGGAACGAACACGAACAGAAGTAAGGTGGAAAATCACAATGTGCCATATCACACCCCGAAATCAAGTCCATCAAGGGTATTCTACTTGGCTCTCTTTTACTTTCTGCTGACAGGTTGAATATTGACTTCGGGCTTATTCCATTGTTTGATGTTTTATCTGGGGAACTCTTGACTATTGTGTGCGAGTTTCTTCCCTTGACGTTTTGAAGCGCTGGCTTCGAATTTTTCTGGCTCTCTCTCTCTCTGAGTAAGAGAGGCGACAGTACCAAAAACATCCACCACGCAATTCTGCACCAACAACCCCAAACAAGTACCAGCAGCAGTAGCAACATCAACAACTCACCGGCTTGGCGAAGGTCACGTACCCCCAGCAGATGAGGCCGCGCTCGGCCGCCGAAACCCAAGCGTCGAGTCCCCTGGCCATGTTGTCGATGAACTCATCCTCCATGCCATCCGAGGTACCGCGGTGCGACATCAGCACTTCCTTAACCTGAAGACAAAAAGGAAGCAGCCATCAACCAGTGTTAACTTACTGGAACATGCACACGATGCTTACCGCCAACGCCGCGATGTTCTGTCCATCTGCCTTGAATTGAAACCGTCGCAAACCTACCTGTCGAAGAGACAACCATATCGGTGAACCAACCGAAACGGTGTTTGAGCGAAAATCGCTTTCGATCACCACCAACGAAGTGAACCAACTAAACTGTCGAAGTGAACCACCTTAAACTGAAACCTCAAGACAGTGATGCAGCTGCCCTCGGTTCTGTGACAAGATGGGGTCAACAATCGTCCTCGAGACACGTTCGGGAGATCATGAAACGGAAACGGTCTTTACATTACCTCCGCACCACGCTACGCATGCAACCAACCATCCACGTAAAAGAACTCACGGATTCGTAGTGCGTCTTCATGTCGGGAGTACGGTCGGAGAACTCCACGAACGTGAGACCGTAAGATTCGGCCCACTTGGCGTAAGACTTAGGCGTACCCAGGTCCTGAAGGCGGACGCGTTCGTACACCTGTGGAAGAGAAGAGGAGAGGAGAGGAGAGAAGACCAGTTTTGTGCGCAGGTGCTTCTAACAGCTTGAAGCACGACTAGTACTATTACTGCTGTTCTCCGTGTGCACTAGGCACAGTATATGTGTGTTAAAATATTCCATACAAACAAAGCTTGTTGATTGATTGATTGATGCGGTACAATATTATAGAGCCAGTAGCCAGCCAGCAGCCACGGTTGAACCACCAACAGTGACAGGTAGGGGATGAGAAGACTGGCTGCAAACAATCCTCCAAATACAGGCAGCTTCAACTTTCAAGTTTTGGTTGGGGGAAAAACACACTCATATAAAAACATGTACGTCCTCTTCAACGTTTTCTGTTGATCAGAACAGAAATTCAGAAACGAACGACGTCGGCGAGTACTAAAGTCGTGGTGAGGTACGGAAACCTGTTGTTCAGCGAGTCTGGTCCTGTTGCTGCCACGACACACACAACACACACGTGGTGAAGGGGGGTCCTGCCTAAGCAAAGCTCGTGCAGAGCCCGCCACGGCGCTTGCGAAAAACACGCAACACGGAAGAAAGAACAAGTAGAACTGGCAACCCAACCGCCACGCCAAAACTGGCACTCACGTCCTTAAGGTCCTTGGGGTCGGCGTGGTTCGTCTGCATGACGTCGTTGAAGACCATCCTGCCCCCTGGCTTGAGCAAGCGGGCGGCCTCGCCGACCGCCCTGTGCCGCTCCGACCCCGCGTGCAGGAGCGCGTCCTGGGAGGTCACCACCTCGCAGCAGGCGTCCGGCAGCCCGGTGTCGAAGTACGACTTCTCTCCGGGGATGATCACCTGGAACAGTAGTTCGTCGCCATCATTTTTGTTGTACTACGATGGGGATGGCGGTTACCGGTGTTGGTTGTGGTGGTGGGTATAAGGGTTACGGCGGTGCGGTGGTGTTGCTGGAAAATTGAAACAACGCCTCATCATGCAACACGACCTTTCGTCCATGAATCAATTTACCTCCGTGACGTACATGGGCTTCCCCTCGCAGTACCCCAACATTTCAAGCCAATACGATGCCACACGGAACAAACTAAAACACTATCGTTCACAACGTTATCCGAAAGAAACGAAAAAGCGTCGTTGTGTACTTGTGTGAACCAAACACCTGCCGTTCACGCTCTCTCGATATATACGACTAACGGCGGAAGCTTTCTGATGACACTTGTTCGGTTCGTCAAAAACAACCGCAATATAGCATCTAACACAAGAAAGGTGGAAAGGTAGACAGGTCAATCACCAGATCCTCGATCCCGGCGGCCTTGCTCAGCGCGCGGTTGACGTCGTTCTCCCTCGAAGTGACGTTGATGCAATACACCTGTAGAAGGGGAGGGGGAGGCGGAGGGGGGGGGGGGGATGCATGAGTTCCCACACGGGGCTCCGGTCGTTCGATTGCCCGAACCAAATGCCTGTGTACCTACTACATTACATTCACTTCGAGCCCATTGACGGACATACTTTCATGTGCATGCTCTCGTTGGTGGTCGCGTTCATGTCTGCTCATTTTGCCGTGCAACCATGGTGGTTGAGGAAATTCGAGTTGCTCGTGACCCGCTTTGAACGAACACAACTGGTGCCATCCTACACTTCGGATAACCGCGCGCTTGCTTGATTGCCCTCAACAGCATGTAGGGTATGCGTGGTCGATAGGCTGGCGGCCTCAACTTCGTCGCAATGCCTGGGGTGCGGTGTTTTGTATCTCAACCATCGAGTTGTTTACCGCGGTTCCGGGTAGCTAGCACATGTGGGTGGGTGGGAGACGATCTTGTGGCGGGAACTTCTCTCTCTGCGTAATCAGCTTTTCTGAGCGCCAGTCAACTTTGTTCAGAGCGGTAGAGACGAGATATGGATTCATCTGCATCTGCATTGGTGATGTGTACGGACGAGGCAGCCGGAAGAAGGACAAGACGGCGGACAGACAGGCGGGCTACGGCAACAGTACGAGCACAGTGCACGCCGTGCTTGCACCATGATCGCAATGAAGAAGGATCACAAAGATTGATTGAGTCGAAGCCACGGAAACTATCTTCGGCGTTGTTCTGTTTCTACACATCGTCGGTGGACGGACGATCCTTTCGCAAAGCCTTGACAACCACACACGAGTCAGACATTGCACCGCGGACAACCAACCTTCTCACATCGTAGGCAGGCAGACAGGCAGCCACGCCGGCAAGGCCAGCAGGCACAGTCGACCATCGACGTACAAAAACAGGATGGATGGATGAAAAAACAAGCGGACGAACAACATGCAGTGTGCCGGAGGAGGGAAGGAAATACAGAGAGAGACTCGCCTTGCAGCCGAGCGTCTTGGCTGCAAGCCTGGCCGAGCCCCCGTATCCGGAGCCCATGTCCACCATGGTGCTCTCCGATGTGGGAGGGGCGCCGTTGCCGTTAGTGCCGTTAGTTCCGTTAGCGCTGGCGGGGAAGCAACGGGCGAGCAGCTCCTCGGCGTTCAGGATGCTGGCCTTCTTGATGCGGTCCAGCACGGGCAGCTTGGCTTCTTCCGCGTTGAGCTTGCTGTACAGGCCGACGTGGATGTGCTCTCCGCCCCACACCTTTGGTCGGGAATCGGGAGGGGGCGTCGATATTACGGGAACGGAGAAGGCACATACGCGGGAGGGGTGTGTGTGTGGTGAGAAGACATTGACGCAATGTACCCGAGTTCAACGGAGCTACATCGAGAGTGAAAAATGACTACCCTGGCAAACGTCTAGTTGAATTTCCTTCCTCTCTCCATTCCTATTTGCCTGATCCTACACGCACGCGCGCACCTACACAGGAAAACGCATTCTACTTCGTCTCGTTGACTCTGGTAAAGCAAACGTGGGGATATTTACATCAGATAGCAGACTCCACGCAGTGCACAAATGCCGTAATAGCTCAATTTAAAGGCAAGAGGCACGCATGCTCTTCCTGCCTGTTTCTCCCGCTAAAGAATTAGCACGAGACGGCGGACGCTACTGAGCATGTGCAGGGTGCGGCCGACAATATACACAGAACCAGATGAACATCAAGATATGGTCACCGCACCTTGAAGTAGAAGTTGAAGGCGTTATCCGAGTTGTACCACCCCTCAGCTGTAGCCGAGATGGCGGTCGTCGCGTTATCGTCGCTCGAGGCCTCGTCCTGTCCAGCCGTGAGAGCATGGTGCCGTGTCGCCGATGGAATATGAAAAAAACGTAAGCCACAACAACAGCATAACCGACTACCTTCAACAACCTGGCGGTTTCGGAACTCAACTTAAATACTACACTTTGCGAAAGAAAAAAACACCACAACAACCTTCTGCTGCACGTGACAGAAGATACCACGCTCGTGTGATGACAAATTGTTCTTGAATCAAGAAATATATCGGAAGGGTGTGGTATTTTGTTGTAGAGGGTGTGATATCTTGTGTGACCCGTGCGATAAATCCGCATTCGCAGGACCCGACCAACGGTACAGGGAGCGTGACAAGAATGTGGTGTTATCAAGATTGTACAGGTCCGTTCTGTAGGGTACTCACAGATCGGTACCAGCGGTATTTTCCCTCTGTAAGTACCGACAGATCACTACAAAGAAGATCTGTCAGACCCAGTACCCTACAGAGATTTCACAGATAGTTCGGTACTCTCCCCAGGATCTACCGAGATTTTACAGACTGTTCGGTACGCTCCCAGTACCCTACAGATATTTTACAGAACATTCGGTACTCGCCCAGTACCCTACAGAGATTTCACAGAACGTTCTGTATTCTCCCAGTACCCTACCGAAAAGTTCTGTGAGACCCCAGTACATACAGAGATTTTACAGAGGAGTTCTGTGAGACCCCAGTACATACAGAGATTCTACAGAAAGTTCGGTACTCTCCCAGTACCCTACCGACAAACAGTTCTGTAACTCTCCCAGTACCCTACCGAAAAGTTCTGTACAGTAGTACCCTCGGAGGTATGACGTCAGGATTGCGCCGAAGACCCCACCTGCCCCACAGCCACAAAAAGCTTGAAGGCGATCACAGAACTAGAACTAGGTACCTCCACAGAACTCCTTTCGGTCACATAGCTTGAGAGGAACATGAGCGAGAGTGCAGACCTCAGCAGCAGCGTCTCCCCGGCGCAAAGTACAGCAGTTGGGGGTGGAGGAGGCGAGGGTGAAACAGAAACAGCCGTACGTGTTTTGTGTTTTGCTTTGGTGCACTGCGTTTTCGCTCCAAATGACAACAACGGAGGCTTAGTGCTGCGTAGCTACGGCGGTTGATTGTTGATTCTGTTGTTGTCGTTCTTCGTGGTTTTGATTGCTGTACCTCTGAGTGGAGGAGGCGCCAAGGCAACCGCAGGTCAGGTGTAGTCGAACTGTTTTTTTTTTTCGTGTCAGCTTCATTAATTATAGTTGATGAGGAAGACCAATGGTGGCGCCGCTGTAGGGTGGGGTAGAATCAGAATGCACGGAGCCACGTTGATCTCGGAGTATAATATCAGTATTGTGTTTCATGCGGTGCAGACGTCCTTTTGTGCGGTGCAGGACGTGATGTCCTGTGACGCTGCTACTATCGGGGTAAGTACCGGGTTCGTCTGTAGGTACGTTGTTTGTGTACCATACAGAGGAGTTCTGTGAGACCTAAGTACCCTACAGAGATTTCACAGATAGTTCGGTACTCTCCCCAGTATCTACCGAGATTTTACAGAACGTTCGGTACTCTCCCAGTACCCTTTTCACAAAACGTTCGGTACTCGCCTAGTACCCTACAGAGATTTAGCAGAACGTTCTGTATTCTCCCAGTACCCTACCGAAAAGTTCTGTGAGACCCCAGTACATACAGAGATTTTACAGAGGAGTTCTGTGAGACCCCAGCACATACAGAGATTTTACAGAGGAGTTCTGTGAGACCCCAGCACATACAGAGATTTTACAGAGGAGTTCTGTGAGACCCCAGTACCCTACAGAGATTTCACAGAACGTTCGGTACTCGCCCAGTACCCTACAGAGATTTCACAAACAGCTCTGTAACTCTCCCAGTACCCTACAGAAGTATCAGTACCCTACAGAACGGACCTGTGCAAGATTGGGTGTGATAGCGTCATCCCTCGCATTAAGTGCACCCTGCAGTCTGACGCCGCGATGCTTCGAAATGCTGACTTGGGTTTACATGGTTCGATGTTTCATCTGCGGGACTGTGTACTGTTTGTGTGGGCATATTTGGTCGCGATTTGCGAAGCGTTGGATTCCAGTTTTTCTGCGCCTCTCTCTCCCGGGTAAGGGGAGCGGCGTCGCTTGTTGCCTACCCTGTCTTATCAATTGAGACATCATTGCTTGGTGTATTGTGGCACGGACGCCTACATGGTCGTGATGAGACCTCGAGAGCTTGCATGCAAATAACGTCGAGATCTTCTGGCTGTTCCCTGTGTTTGGTTGGATATGTGATGCCAACGGACACGTTGGTTGGCGTGCGTTATGCTCGGAGTATGTGCGTTGTGCTTGGAGAATGTGCCGCGTACGTTAGTGCAGTGACCACATGCTTAAGAAACACTGCTATACAAGGCAAAACAAACACAGCGCATCATCGCGTACCGTGGTCTGGTGACCAACAACAACAGACAGACAGCGGTCACTCACCGGCTTGGTGAAGGTCAAGTAGCCCCAGCAGATGAGGTTGCGCTGAGCCGCCGATATCCAAGCCTCGATTCCCCTGACCATGTTGTCGATAAAATCGTCCTCCACGCCTTCCAAGTTGCCGCGCCGCGACTCCAACACGTCCCGAACCTGCAGCAATACACGAGAACAAAAATGTGTCGGCATTTTCTTTTACCGTGTCATATCGTGTTGCTGGGGATGGGGGAGGTAGGGAGAGAGTTGTAGTCAGTGAGCTCAAACCGAGGTTGACTTGACTTACACCAAGCTACGAGCAGAATAGGACGGAATGCTGCGTTGGAAGTGGGAGGAATAGGAAGAGAGGGGGGGGGGGGGCGTCCTCTTATGTTTTGCATGCCTTAGCGGTTAGACCGTTGACCACGCGCCCTCGAGAGGACAGAGCATTGTTCCCACAGGAACGATCACCGATGGCCAATCGGTCCTGTCTACTTTGCCAAAGGTGGCTCAAAATTGTCTTCCCTAGTCTGTCTATCCTAACGATATCCCTTCCCGCCTTTTCAACTTACGTCCTATGCCCCAGTACAGCTACCGTCCTATCTTTCCTATTCCATGCCTCAAACATCTCCCTGTACGTCCCATCCATTTTTCCCAGCTCAGTTACGTACACTTCCCTCACCTTGTACCACGGACATTCCGCGACTACTCATGAACACGGTCTTCGCATTCGAAGCCGCAATCACATTTGAACTCGTCGTCTTCCTCGTCTACCGTCCTATGTCTTCGTCGACGTTCTCGAAGGCCTATGTCCCCGGTCCTGAATTTGACCTTAAGCTTTGTTCCTGCATCCATTGGTCCATGTAGGTAGTCCTTGAACCCTATTCCTTCCTTCAACATTCCGTACACTTCTAGACCCTCCTTATCCTTGGATTCTTTCCTCAGATTCTGTTCTTCTCTCTCGGCACAAGCAACAGATATCTTCTCCTTGAACCCCTGTAGACCCTCCGTTTCCAGCGTTTCATCTTCGTCGATGTCGAGCCCCTTCCATACGTCCTCTACAACCTTGACCCATTTCGTGGGTTGTCTGCCCGTCTTTTTGATNCCATGTAGGTAATCCTTGAACCCTATTCCTTCTTTCAACATTCCGTACATTTCTAGACCTTCCTCATCCTTGGATTCTTTCCTCAGATTCTGTTCTTCTCTCTCGGCACAAGCAACAGATATCTTCTCCTTGAACCCCTGTAGACCCTCCGTTTCCAGCGTTCTGTCTTTGTCGATCT